GGTCTCTAACTTTATTTTAATATTTCTTTAAATTAACATTATTGGAAAGATGATTTCAACCGGGGAACAAATCCGGTAACATAATTTATATCTTAAATTCCCTATATGAATTTATTAAGAGATATTACTAAGAAAACGATAAACTATTCCGGCCTGGGAGTCGAACCCAAGACCTTAGTAAATTGTAACGATTCGCGAATTTGTGCTATAAAATCGTATATTAATGGGAATTGTCATATGTATTTTTCTGTCTATATGCCTCAAAACAATCTTGAAAATTTACCTGAATTTACAAATATTTTATGTATAATCAAAAGTTTATTAGAAAATCATTTCGTAAATGTGGCTATTGCCTTAGGAGACTATAATGCGAATATTAACACGTTATTTAGCAACGAATTAATAAAATTTTGTTCTGAAAATGATTTGATTTGCGCAGACCTTAAATTTTTTAAAGATTTTGAAAATATTTTTACATACGTTAGTTATGCTCATGGCACAAAGAGCTGGCTTGATCATTGCATCGTAACTCGGGTCGCGTGGTCGGCGTTATCAAGAGTATATGTAATAAATGATGTATTTTGGTCGGACCACTGGCCTCTTGCATTCGAATTTAACTTTAACATAATTGCGGTTGAGAGAATTGTGGTTAATCACGCTAAATCTAGGAACCTTATTTCTTGGGGTAAGAGAAGTGGGGATGAGATTAAAGCGTATGAGTGGTGGTGTAGTTATCTCTTATCAGAATTTAATTGGGACTATCTGCGCTTAATTTCTTCTTGCGATGGCTGTACTTGCGACTCACACAAAGGTTTTCTCGTTAGAATTTATAAGAAATTTATCGAAAGTCTTCATACATCCGCTATTAAAAGCCACGTAAGTCAGGTAGGGTATGGATTGTCAACGCGTAAACGTAAAGGCACGCCGGGCTGGAATGATGTAGTAAAATCAGCGTATGTGGATACTAAAGTAAACTTATCAAGGTGGATCGGGGCGGGGGCTCCCAGCTCTGGTTCTATCTATGATATGATGAAGCAAAGTAGGTCTATATTTAAAGGCCGCTTAAAGTGGTGCCAGAAAAATGAAAATAAGATTTTATTGGAGCGGATAAGTAACGCATGTATAGACAAAAACTTTTCTAAATTTTGGCAACATAAATCAAAACTATGCAACATAAGGGTTGGAGTTCCGGTCTGCGTGGATGGTGTTAGCGATAAAAAACAGATAGCTAATAATTTTAAACAGAACTTTTTGTTGAATGACTGCTATTCTAGTGGTGGCCCTTCTGCGATAGATACACTTGATATGCCTGTTTTATCATATACTCATATTGATGAGAGTATGGTGTATAATGCCCTTAAAAAGATGCACCTTGGTAAAGCGTGTGGTCATGACCACATTTCGGTAGAACATCTACGTTGCGGTGGACCCTGGGTTGTAGTGTTTCTTTCGGTTTTTATTAACGCGTGTTTAAAACACTCATTTTTGCCTCCTGACCTAATAAAATGCGTGGTTAGCCCTATTGTCAAAAGTAAAACCGTTAGCGATACGATCAGTTCCAATTATAGGCCTATCTCAATCGCTACAACCTGTGCGAAACTATTTGAGTCTATTATTCTGGATATTTTATCGAAATTTATTTTTAAAAGTGACGCTCAGTTTGGTTTTAAAAAGGTAGCTCTACTGAGTTGGCTATTTTTTCCTTAAAACAAATAGTAACGTATTACGTGTCACGACGAACAAAAGTTTACGCTTGTTTTATGGACTTGAGCCGCGCCTTCGACAGGGTAAACTATAGCATCCTGTGGGATAAGTTAAAACTGGTGGGTGTTCCTTCCGACATAATTAGAATCCTTATTAATTGGTATAATACGCAGGTTAATGTAGTGAACTGGGATGGCTCGCTTTCGGACGAGTTTGTACTGACTAGGGGGGTTAGGCAGGGTGGGCTGACTTCTCCTCTGCTGTTTAACCTTTACGTTAACGCTCTAATTGAGGAGCTCAATGAAACGGGTATCGGCTGTCATGTAGGTGGGAAATGTGTAAACAATCTTAGTTACGCAGACGATATGGTTTTATTGAGCCCCTCAATCGGAGCCTTAAGGAAGTTAATTTCTATTTGTGAGAGATACGCAGCAAGCCACGATTTAGTTTATAATGCAGAGAAGTCTGTGGCAATGGTCTTTGGAGCGCATAGTAAAGATGTTTGTTTGCCTTTTTACCTGAACGGCAAAAATTTGAAGTTTGTGACGAGCTTTCGATATTTAGGACATATCGTATCGAGTGACCTGAAGGATGATCAGGACATGGACAGAGAAAGGCGGTCCCTTGCTGTACGTGCAAATATGATTGGCAGGAAATTTAATAAATGCGAGCGAGATGCTAAAATATTACTATTTAAAACCTATTGCCAATCGCTTTACACACCGCATCTCTGGACTAAATTTAAAAAGGAAAATTATCGAATTTTTAAGGTTCAATATAACGATTCGTTCCGAATATTATTTCGTTTTCCGAGGTACTGTAGAGCATCTACAATGTTCGCTGAGGCTCGCGTACCGACGCTCGATGCTTTGATAAGACATCGTGTGGCCAGATTTAGAAGTAATCTTCTCAAATCTGGAAACACGATTATACTAATTTTAACACAAAATTGTAGTGAAATATTTAAATATTGGTCTACTATGTTAAGATGTAAGTTTTAATTTGTTTGGTGGCATTTATTTAATTTATATTTATTTTTGTATTTCAGTTTATTTCAATTTTTCTTATGTTTGTAGATTATAAGTACTTATGTTTCTTTTTTACGGGCCTTTGTTGTCGGTCAATAAATGATTATTATTATTATTATGTGTGGGGTATCTATATAGTTTTCTCATCTGGTTGGGATGTATAAATATATAATTATAAACGAAAATGAAAAGATAAACATACAAAAATATCAATAAAATAAAATAAATATGAAAATACATAAATAAATAAAAGCCCAACCAGATGGAAGCCCTCGGCAGGGGAGACCAAACGGCCGAGGGTTAGGGGGAAAGGGAAAGAAACCGGCGGACGATGCGGGCGGTATCGAGGAGCACCGCCTTCTGCATTTGAGCCTGGAGCGGTCCGCCACGTAGTCCCAGCCGCCTCAGATCCAGACCTCATCACCACCTCGTGAGCCAGGTCCAGATATTTTGTTTGCTTATCTGTTTCGGCTTTCACGAGGTTCTCGTCACACGGAATGGTAATGTCGACCAAAAATATCCTTGACTGTGCCCGGTCCATCAGCACAATATCAGGCTTATTCGCAAGAATAGTCCTGTCTGTGATGATGGCCCGGTCCCAATAGAGCCTGGCGCGATCATTTTCGAGCACGGCTTCCGGCAAGTACTTGTAATACGGCAACTTCCGATCCACGAAACCGTATTTCAGAGCGAGCTCCTGGTGTAGAATTCTGGCTACTAGGTTGTGCCTGTGCAAGTACTCAGAGTTAGAAAGCGCCGAACAACCGGAGATGACATGCCTAAGTGACTCACCGGGATGGCGACAAGCTCGACAGATGTCGATGGTGCCATCCTTTAGGATGTATCTCCGATAGTTGTTGGTCTTAATAACCTGATCCTGTATTGCACAGACAAAACCCTCGGTTTCCCCGAAGAGGTCACCAAAGCGTAGCCAGTGGAGAGAGGTTACTGTGTCTACGAAAGGCCCATGTAGAGACTTGTAGAACCTCCCGTGGAGCTCCTTCTCCTTCCATACGGTCTCCCGGTCGGAAATTGTCTGCACTGCCTGGTCTTGCCATTGCTCGTTGGCTAAGGATAGAGGGGTAAGTCCTTTATCACAAGAAATGACGTCCTTATAGAATGGATCATCCGATCTCGCCAGGAAGTAATTACGGAGGCTGCACACTTCGCGATTATGCATGGTGAGCGCGCTCAAGAAGCCACGCCCACCATGCTTTCGCGGCAAGTACAGCCTCATTACCGACGATCTCGGATGATGCATCCTGTGGGACGTCATGGTAGTGCGGACTTTTCTATCCAGGGCGTTAAGTTCAGTCTGAGTCCACCTGAGTATGCCAAAGGTATACATGAGGACAGGTATGACCCAGCCGTTATATGCTTGTGTCTTATTCACACCGGACAAAAGGCTGTTAAGCACTTTGGTCAAGCGTGCATAAAACACGTCGCAAACTGACTGTTTCATACCAGCCTCATCGATACCAATGTTCTGTGACATACCCAGGTATCGGTATGTTTCAGCCTCGGAAAGGGTCCTTAAGTTGACGGGCATAGATAAGTCTATGCCCTCAGAGTTAGCAACCCTACCCCTCTCAACATGGAGGACCGCACACTTATCCGTCCCCAGCTCCATTCCAATGGAATTGCTAAATTCACAAGTGATGTTTAGCAGTTCCATAAGATGGGAGCGACTGGAGGCGAATAACTTGAGGTCATCCATATAGAAAAGGTGGGTCACTTTTGTCCCTCCTTTCCGTAGCTGAAATCCCCTCCCGGAGCCCTCCAGTAAGGTACTGAGAGGGTTCAGAGAGAGGCAGAACCATATTGGACTCAGACAATCGCCCTGGAAGATACCCCTTCTTATCCTTATGTGGTTCTCCGCAGCCATCATCCGCTCGCCCAGATGACAAAGGATCGTACTCCACTGCCCCATACACTGCTCGAGGAAGTCTCTAACTGTACAGTCTATCTTGTACAGTTCGAGGACTCTCTTTAGCCATGTATGGGGCACCGAGTCGAATGCCTTTCTGTAGTCTATCCAGGCGGCGGAGAAGTTCCGACGGTTGCGTTTCACCACTTTGCCAATGACCGCGTCAATGAGGAGTGGTTCCTTGGTTCCACGACCGCCGCCCCGACATCCATTTTGAGCGCGCGACATCACCTGATTTGAGTCCAGGTGACGAGTGATTCTCGCGCTCAAAATGGATGTTAGTGTCTTATATATGGTCGGTAGACATGTGATGGGGCGGTATTTGCTCGGGTCTGTGGTACTCTGGCCTTTAGGAACCAAATGGGTGATCCCAGTAGTGAAGAGGCTCGGGAGCGACTTCTGGTTGAGAACCTCTTGAAACTGTCGGGCGAGCACAGTGTGACACACCACGAACCCCTTCAGCCAGTAGTGATGCAGCCCGTCGAGTCCCGGACTTTTCCAGTTCGGGGCCCTACGGACCGCCTCAGCTACGTCATCCGGCGTTATGGTGACGGGGTCCATGGGCGTAATACCCGCACACTGACTCGCCACAACTTCCGTCCAAGGGCCCTCGTTGTGGTTTACGGGCTCTGACCACAGGCTGCGCCAGAATGCGACCGTGTCGGCCTGATTCGGTACTGGGCCCGTTCCACTTACCATTGGTCGCTCCAATGATTTATATAGCCTCTTCTGATCACTCTGGAAGAGACGATTCTGGTTGAACCGTGTCGACCTCTCGGTATATCGCCGAATTCGCTTTCCCCAAGCAGCGATTCTCTGCTTCAGGTCGTCTATGCGCTCCGTCAGTTTTTGCATTATATCCGGCTGGGACAAACTAACATTTGTCCCAGCAAACGCCATCCTGACGGTGCGCACAATCCTTGGCCTGGTATTGCCTGACCTGAAGCATATCAGTCTGCCGATGAGGGCCCTAGCCTTTGCGATACGTTCTTCAATTCTTGTTCTCCAGGCTGGGATAGCACTACTTTGTCCAGTAGTGCGTCCAGCCGTGGAAAGATTTGGCGCCTATAATACGGCAGACTGCCAGTGCGGCGCCAAAGAGAATTGAGTCCGTCTCGCAAAGGTCCCGGCTGGCTTCCAAATAGGTCACCAGCATTGGGTTCAGAGCCCTCACGACAGCCCGATTCCGCTTGCTTAGGGCTATGCGGGGAAGTCGCGGTCGATTTTCGAGAGGCGTACTGCGCGTTTCCATAATCGCCTCTTCCAATGTACTCCTCATTTGCTCTATTTCTAGTTCCTGGGTGAATGTTCCATCATCATTTGAATCAGCAACCACTGGGGTATTCTCGGCGGCATCCACGTGTGCGGGTTGTTCTGCAACTTGTGGCACCGCACCCTCAGTCGTAGCGTTTTCATTTGATGAGGGAACAGCCTAACGTCGTAGCCGTTCGAGTTCGGCGCCATCAAATATATTTGAGCGTAAGATATATCGAACTCGGTCTGCCAGGTTTTGCTCGGTGACAGTAATAGATGGCTCCAGCTCAGTAAAAAGACGATGCATCCTAGCCCGATACGCGAAACCTCCAATTTCTCCCCCCTTTCGCCCTAAAATACGCCCGCAATGCGTTTGAATTCATATTGATGGTCCATCGCATGCGGCGTACTCCACCAGTGGCGGGTGCCGATTGCTGGGCCTGCGAAGACCCTGCCGACACCAAGCAAGCTGGTGGGGATGATGGATGCGAGGGGCTGCTGGGTGGTCGTGCAGCACCTCGCGCTCGGCTGGCGGTTCGCATGCTGTCGCGTCCAGCGCCAGCTCCAGACGCGCCCTGACGACCTCCAGGCAGCGGCCCTTTGCGCAATCTTCTATGTTCCATCATCCATACAGGGCGTCATTTAACGGGAGACGCCCAGACCCGGCGCCGTTTCATGGTGAGGCCATATGCACAAGCGGGCCCTTGCACCATCAATTTTTGCCGAGGCACGGCGCTCACACCTCTTGGCAAGGTGCTGACTGACTGCGCGGACGTAGCGGTTTTGTCACATAACCGTCACGTCAACGGGCGATGGGGTCGTCACTTCCCTACGCCATTATTATTATTATTTTTATTATTATTATTATTATTATTATTATTATTATTATTAATTCGATATTTCTTTAAGATTCAACTAAGCATTTTCCTTTCGCAATATTGTGGTTTGATAATTTGCTTTTTAGAAGCTATTCGTAATCGGTTAACTAATAAATTGAAATATTCTTATAGGCGCGTCGCCAACAATCTCCCCCCCGTGCATCAGCACCATCATTTGGGAGGCGTCGCGGGTACCAGGACTATTATTCTGAATGTAGGTCTCCTCAAGATACCTGTGCTAGTAATGACGTCAACCACTCTAGTGTGACCGTCTGGTCCCGGTAGCGTCCCACTAATCTTGCCTTTCGGCCACGTATTTCGTGGCAATGAATGATCTATTATAAAGACAATATCACCTTCTTTAGGCTCCATAAACTTTCCGTTATTACCTGTTCGAGGTGTTAAAGTAGGCATGTATTCTTTTAGCCATCTTGTCCAAAAATGGTTGGCTAACCTCTGTGCAGATTTCCAATTGAGCTAACCCGTCAGATGTTGCTCTAAAAATAATCTAGGTGGTCGATCACCACATGAGCGTCCCAGAAGAAAATGATTGGGTGTCAAACCCTCTTCAGGACTATCCATACAACAATTTACAGTATGCTATGCTTCTAAAAGCAACGTATGCAGAACCTCCTCTCGCGGGCTCCTTTCTTTGAGCGTAGCGGTCAACGCAATTTTAATTGATCTTACTAACCTCTCCCAGGCGCCACCCATGTGCGGTGCTCCCGGAGGTATAAATTTCCATTTAATATATTTTTTAAATGACTCATTTTTCATGCCCTCATAGCATTCTTCGCATGCTTTCAATAATTCTTTACTTTAGCTTTGAAATTTGTCCCGTTATCGCTGTATATAACGGCTGGTTTTCCCTCTTCTGGCGATAAATCGCCTCAATGCTATTATCATTGACGCTGGTGTCAATGAGCCTGCTAATTCCAGATGTACTGCTCTGGTGGTCAGACACGTGAATAAAACACCCCAACATTTTTCGTGTCGCCTTCCTATAGTCACACTCATAGGTCCGAAATAATCTACGGCTGAACATGTAAAATGTGGTTCATTGTGAGCTATTCTCTCCAGAGGGAGATATTTCCTTGTTGCACGTTCTGCGGTTTTGACCTGTATGTCCTGCACCACTGACAATGATGTGACACACTTCGTACTACATTACGCAAGTTCAAGACATAAAATTTTTGGTTCACCTCATTCATCACCGTCTGGTGATTGGCATGTCCAAAATGATGATGAACTTCTCTAATCATCATTTTAACGATTTCGTGTTTACCGTCTAATATGACAGGTTTTCTACTTTCCTCGGTCAAATTAGACTTAAAAGGTAAACGCCCATTTAAACGGAGTAAGTTATCTTCTCCTATTTCCATAGGTAATTTACTTAAGCGTGAACTTCTTTCAACGCTTTTGCCTGCTTTCAAGCATTTTATTTCCAAATGAAAACACTCGTCTTGAACGAACTTCCAAATTAATAATTCAGCTTTTTTCAAGAGCGCTATGTCCAACGCGCTATCGGGTCCCTTAACCGACTTTGCTAAAACTTCGTTGGAACACATAACCGACTTTTCGGCTGCGTTGTCGGGTCCTTTAACCGACTTTCTTAAACTCTTGAATTTTTCTACCGCTTGTAAGGTGCGTGTAGTTGCCCCAAGGAATTTCTTAAAGCTGCTAAATCGTTCGTAGTCGGGTAGACTTAACGGCTCTTGCTTTCTCAGCGCATTTACGCCTTTTGGCGATTTTTCTTCACCTGTTTCTAAGCTATTTATGGTGTCCACTTGTTTGGGCCATAAATCAGGACTGGTCCTGAGGAATTCAGGTCCTTGAAACCAGCGATGACTTACATCGAAGGTGGAAAGAAAATTTCTAGTGGCGTCGTCTGCCACGTTTTGTGACGTTGGAACCCATCGCCATTCACATGGTTTACTGTGATCTTTGATCTTAGCCAATCGATGAGCAACGAATGGTTTAAAAGCGCGAGAATCTGACTTAATCCACGCTAACACTGTACGTGAGTCTGTCCAAAATACTCTCTCGGATATCTCGTACTTGCTCTCTTCACTAACTGATGCAGCCAGTCTGCTGCCCATAAGAGCTGCTTGCAATTCAAGCCTTGGAATCTAAATTGGTTTCAGCGGCGCTACTCTTGCCTTTTGCGGCGATCAGCGTTATCCGCCTTTCTCCTAGCTCGTCCGTGGTGACGTAATACACTGCGGCAGCGTATGCTTTTTCACTAGCATCCGTGAAGGTGTGTAATTCTCCCTTGCCGACGCCTTCAGCAACGGGTCTAGGTACTTCTAAATGACCTAATTTCTTCACTTACGATATCCATTTACAAAATAACATGTGTAATTCGTGTGTAACTTCTTCATCCCAAGAGATGTCTGTCCTCCATACTTGCTGGATCAGCGACTTCCCTTGAATCGTTATGGGTGATGCGAGTCCCAAAGGATCGAAGACCGACATCACAGCACTAGTTATCTCCCTCTTCGTAGGTGGTCGTAAACCTTCCATCACCTCTTCCGGTGTGTTACGAAGACTTATGGAGAAACTTATTATATCCCGTTTGATATTCCAGATCAAATCTAAAGTGCGTTCTGTGTGCTCCTTATCTCCCAGTGAAGCACTGTCGCTCTTATATTTATTTTCCATTTTACATAAACTTCGGGTCGGTTGCTAGCCCCTCAGTTGGAAAGAAGCACGTTTATGTAATTCATACATATTGTTTACTATCCTTTCGGCCGTCGTCACGTCGGGAAATGCCTGTAGATAGTCATCCATATTAAAATTGCTTTCCGTAGCGGAAGCTGCTTCAGGATAGATATGTGCATTATCCTGCGCATTCCTATTCTTCACATACATAGTGATGCATGGTGATGATGCTGCTCCAAATATGAGTGACGTCATTCTATACTCTTCCGGTGGCGCGTCACGCTTGTGCCGCCATAAGAATTGAAGGCTATTCCTGTCTTCTTCCCGGATTTTCACTTGCAGGAATATTTCTTTAATGTCTGCCATCACTGCCACGCTTCCTTCTCTGAATCGTAGCAGAACGCCAAATAACGACTTCCATAAGTCCGGTCCGGTTAACAATGCATCATTGAGACAACGTCCGCCCGTCCTAGCGGCGGCGTCGAAAACTTTTCTTATTTTCCTTTTTTGTGGATGAGTCACTGCGAAGTGAGGAAGATACCACGTGCGTGGGGAAATGGAAATATGGTTCGCTTTCTCTGCGTAAACTTTAACGATGAGATTTTCAATTTGCTTCTCATATTCTTTTTTTCAACTCGCTATTTTTATCGAGCTTCTTTTCGATATTAAACAGGCGACTTTCAACCTGCGCTCTATTCGACGGCATGCACTCATTATCTGTGCGCCATAACAAAGCAGTCTCGTACCTATTATTAGGTATACGACGTACCGTTTTGCTCAAAATATTTAAAGCTCGTTCTTCTGGGTCGTTCATGTTCATTCGCGCAGACACTCCCAGAGATTCCAAACTAAAATAATCTTTGATCAACTTATCCATGTCCTCCTCCTTCTTGGTGGAAATGTGGTTAACAATCTTGATTGGTTTAATGCCACCCGAAATGTGACCATGTAAAACCCATCCAAATTTGGTGAGCGATGCTACAGGTAGGTTCTTAGCTCTTGAAATTAATTCACGAGTAACTATGAGATGCCAATTGTCCTGGCCAATTAATATGGTAGGTT